ATGTACATGTATGCTCAGTGTATTTTAAGTTTTTTCCCAACTCTCAAACTTTAATCTCCGATGGGTGTTAGAGGTTTGGGGTGTTTGTTGCTTCCTAAATAGATGTGTGGGATAATTTAGCAACTAACTGAGCAAGCATGAACTCAACGTATGTTATTCCATTTGATCTGGACAAGTGGCTAGTATTACCACTGCCTGTTCTGTATACTAGGATACCAAGGCACATGTCCAAGATCACTCTTGAGCAAGATTATTTTTCACTGAACATATGCAAGCATATAGGAGATATTTGAAGTAAATACTAAAGGTAGTGGTCTTCGTGTTAAGAGTCATATACACTGGTATGGTGGCACACCTGTAATCCCAGCCCTCAGGAAGCTGAGACAGGAGAATCGCCACAAATTCAAGGCCAGCCTGAACTACATGACGAGACCCTGTCTCAAAAGAACGATATATACTGGTATCCTTGCATTTCTAGGTCCATGTTAGTGGTTAAGTCTGGTAGAATACTGGGCCGTTTATGATTAGCAAAAACTGAAGTAGACATTCTTAGCAATTTCATGTTTATACACAAAATACAGAAATGTGTAGGACTTGAAGTTGACTCAGGTCATCCTAGAATATATTAGGGGAAAAGAAGCTGACATTAGTACTAAAGTATTGGGTCATTTTTCTGTGTCACACAAGCATTTCTGTTACCATTGCCAAATGGTAGTTATAACCTATAACTTGTTAAAAGACACTTGTGTACAACATGCATAGAGAAAGAGTAATTTCCTCTGCAATGGAATGTTGAGCTTGTATGATTGTTTTAACAGAATGAGTAGCTCTTATATAAATGGGAAAATAAAACCTAAGTCATTAACATTCAGCAGCTCGGTTTAGCCACCTTTGGAAGAGGGAGCACACTTACAGATAGCTGACCATTTGGCATTGTTCAGCAGTCCCTGTTGCCTAGCCACTTACATATTATGCTGTGCTTCCAAAAAGAAACTGCAAAAATTAAGTTTCCACTTGTGTATGGAGCTTTGTTTTCTAAACATTAGTGTTGAAATGGTATATATTTTGTAACTACATGAGTCATTCTAGTCATGTGGACTAAGTGTGCCACAGAATGAGTCCTCCTCCTGGATTTTGTTGGGTCGTTCACTTCTTTATTACAGTAGTAAGGTGAATTAAGAAAAACAACCTTCATAGGGTTGAATAGTTATTGATAGTAAATGTAGTTCTTTATTATTGGGACTGAACACATTGTGTTTCTCAAATTTCTTAAGTACTTGAAGTATTGAAAGAGTTTCTCCTGAAGGCTGTAAATCTTGACATATTCTTCACAATGTTGGTATCTGCCTGTGTTGAGTATTTAGAACAGTGCTCTCTACGATGGCAGCCTCAGGGGGTTACCAGGCCTCACCCTCACCTTAGGGCTGGTTGGCAGCCTGCATGACATTGGGAGGTTTTGGATTATATTTCAGTTTGCTTTAAATTCCACAGGGAGGAGATACAGCTCAGTGGCACAAGCGCCTGCCTGGCAAGCGCAAGGTTGTGAGTTCGACCCCTGGTACCGCAAAAAAAAAAAAAAAAAAATTGCATAGGGAAACAGCTGAAAATAGAATGGCATCTTCTGTGGCACTTAACATTTTGTTATTGTCTTTCAGGTACTCAGGGAGTTGCACCTGGTCCTGTGATTGGGTTGCAGGCACCATCAACTGGTCTTCTTGGTGCCCGACCTGGCCTCATCCCGCTTCAGCGCCCTCCAGGAATGCCTCCCCCTCACTTACAGCGGTTCCCTATGATGCCACCGCGCCCTATGCCACCACACATGATGCACAGAGGACCGCCACCAGGACCAGGGGGCTTTGCCATGCCACCACCTCATGGAATGAAAGGGCCCTTTCCTCCACATGGGCCCTTTGTCAGGCCTGGTGGAATGCCAGGGCTTGGAGGCCCCGGCCCAGGCCCCGGGGGTCCTGAAGACAGAGATGGAAGGCAGCAGCCGCAGCCCCCGCAGCAGCAGCAGCAGCAGCAGCAGCAGCCGCAGCCGCAGCCGCAGTCACAGCAGCCGCCTCCACCACAGCCACAGCAGCCACCTCCTTCACAGCAGCCGCCACCGGCTCAGCAGCAGCCACAGCCGTTTAGAAACGATAACAGGCAGCAGTTCAATTCAGGTAGAGACCAAGAAAGGTTCGGAAGAAGATCTTTCGGAAATAGGGTGGAAAATGACCGGGAACGGTATGGCAACCGTAATGATGATAGAGAGAATAGTACTCGTGAAAGGAGAGAGTGGGGAAGAAGAAGCCCTGAACGGGACAGGCACAGAGACTCGGAAGAGAGAAACAGACGCTCTAGTGGGCATCGAGACAGAGATTCTAGAGATAGAGAGTCGCGTAGAGAGAAGGAAGAAGGCCGAGGAAAGGAGAAGCCCGAGGTGACAGACAGGGCCGGTGGGAACAAAGCCACTGAACCGCCCCTTAGCCGAGTGGGCAATGTAGACACTGTTTCAGAACTGGAAAAGGGGGAGGCGGAGGCCACTGTGGTGAAACCTCCTGAAGAGTCACCTGCTGAGGCTACCTCATCCCTTGAACCCGAAAAGGAGTCTGGCTCAGCAGCGGAGGCTCCTCGCTAGAGACTGCAACTTGTCCTGATGTGACAGTGACACTTCCTCCCGGAGTGTAGAGCTTGAGGTGTACAGATGCTGTATTATATTTGCTCCCGCTATATCACAGCCCCACAGTAGTTGGTGGGGAATTGTAAGCAATTTGATTGCTTTCCTTCTATTTAAGAATAGCTACAAAATAACAAAAAATACTGAAATATGAATAAATACTACCCTTTTTGCTGTAACTTTTTAAAAGTTTTGACTTTAAAAAGTTTACAAATCGTAATTAGAAGTGCTCTCTATTTTTTTTTTAATTTAAGACAAGGTAACGGTGAAAGCTCCTCAAAACAATAGGGATGTTTTTAATAAACTCTATTTTCGTAACAAACTTTAATGTGTGGTATTCTTCCTACACTGCACTGAGGTGGAAAAGGATTGTTCACCATCAAAGTTTGAGCTGTTAATAATGTATTGAGTCTAAATTAGACTTACATGGTGGAAATGGACATTTTATGTATTCTTTCATTTATAATTCGCTTGATTTTTAGTATTTTAGTAAGAGTTGTTTTAATGTTAATTGAAAAGCTTGTGTTTGTAATTTAGCCAAGGTTTTCTTTTTCTACTGGCTTTGTAGTAATGTTGCCCTAGTTAATTTGTAAAGAGATCTCACTGGAGAAAAATTGGATCCCCAACATTACACCCTGTACTATTACTAATTAGCAAATGCCTGGGTATTAGAAGAGTGCTTGGGGTTTGTGATTTTTGTTTTCTGATCGTATTAAATTTCTCAAAAGGTTAAGAGGAAATCGAGGTTAGTATTTCCAACCTGAAAGCTTTTTGTCTTTTAAGGATTTAAATGAACCTATTTGTTTCCTGTAAGCCTTGCCTGTTGCCTTTACCTTTTTAACTTCCCTGCTAGGCAGAGGTGGGCAGCTTTTTGCCACATACAAGATGCTTTCTGTTCTGTTCCCAGTGGTTGGGTCGCCTGCTGGTGAGGTAGACTGGTGGTACAGTACCTACCTAGCACGAGGCCTGGGTCCAGTCCTTAGTACCAAAAGAAAACTGGTGAACTAGGAGAAGTGTTTTAGGTTATCCAAGAAGTATCACATGAAAACATAAACAACAGTACAGAAAAGCGTAAAACAGCTACACCAAGACCCAGTGTTACACAGCCTGCTGAAGCTTTCTTTATGTGAAGCCATACTCACTTCTGTGTGCTGAGCAGGTAACTTTTTCTTTGCCCTCATCCCCAGGTGAAGCTGCTTTAGGACTTCGGGTTTTAAATAGTACTCTGTAGCAAGGTCTTCGTTATGACAATGTAGTTTAGGGTTATATTCTTGTATCCTTTAAAAGCAAGAAAATTCCATTTTCTATCCGTGGACTTTGAAACTTCTAAATTGAGCCCACAAAGTTTTATAAGTCCTAATTGAAACTGCTTTTGGAAAGAAACTGATTATCAGTGTTAAGATTTCAAAGACTGCCTGTATTTCTAGTCAAAAGTATTAAGACCATCCTCTTTGCACAAGGAAAAAAACCCGAAAGTACTGATACTTGAGGCTTCCCCAAGTTATTCCTTGTATTTGAATCATCCCACAAATAGGCAGCAAATTACACTAATTCACATTACTGTTTCACAAATCCCTACCTGAATGGTCGTTTTAAGCACTATGACCATACTGCTCTTCATCACATCTTTAACTTCGGAAACACCAGCTGTTCCTCCTAAACGACATCGTATGCATTTCACACAGCTCATATTTATGATCAGGATTTCCGTTCATCAGAAATAAACTTTCAATTGAATAAACACCTGTAATCCAGTCAGAAAATCTGAATCTGATTAACATTTCATTTAAAAGCATTTTCATTTACATGAATATAGACACTTTCTCTAACTGGATGTATAAATGCTTGTATTTCAATAGCCAGACCCACAATGAAACATCTTGATTTCCTTTTCCAATACCAGTCTATATTCAGAGCGCCCATCTAAACACCAATTTCACCAAAATCCACCTTGAAAAATTCTAGCAAGCAGGTAAACTATTGAGCTGAGGCTATGACTTCCCTTTTACAAGTTCACTAAGTTACCATACAGCTCTTAAACTGTGCCATCTGCTTTTACAATAAATTTTAGTACTTTTTGAATCAAGTTTCCCTGAAGGTGACAAAGGACAACCTATTTGTCTAAGGTCAAAGTTTAGGTTGCCACAGCTAATAGACATGCTGTTTATACACTAATGGCCTAACTGAAAACATTTTCAAAATAGTGCTAAGAAATGGTTCCATTCAAGTTGTGTGTGTAAATGAGTATGAAAGCTCATTTAGAATTTTGGTTTGGATACTTTAATAGGCTCAAAGTGCTATACAAGGTGTTTATTCACAGGCTTGAATGAGCATTGAATAATTTCAGACAGTAAATTTAATACCACATGATTAAGTCTGGCAACATACAGAAATCATTGAAACAAGACATTTTAATTGAATGAGTTTTATAAAACCATACAAATTTTCCAAGGGAACATAAATCAGTTCTCATTACAGAAGTACTTCAATTAAGAAAAAGTCACACAAATTAACACTTTTAAGATTACAGTGTTTAATGTTTTTCAAGTTACATTTCTACAGCTAGCAGGATGACATGAGTGACTAGGACTCGGACCACACAGCAGGGAATGTTTACTGGGCTATCCCAATGACTCCACAAGCCAGACGACTTCCAGCATTTCCCGTCTTTGTACTTTCTTCATTTCCACCTTTGCCCAGGTCATCTGGTTTTTCATGGACCTTTAAAAAGATTAAGAACATTTAACTGTGGGATCTCAAGTAATTAACACCTGTTCCCAACAATACTTCAAAGACTTCTAAGAACAATTAATATTAGAACATAGTATGTTAAAGTAACCCACTAGTAGATAAATAATACTGGTATTTATGCTACAAGTTTAAAAGTAGAAACTACTACACAAAGCTTTTCCTTGCTGGTGCAAAGACGTTACCTTTAAACACGGGAAGTGTTGCTATTTCCTGCTTATAGGCCACATGTTGCTCTTAATCCTCCACAAAAACTAAGGAGTAACCTTCATTATAATAAACTCACAATTTCATGCCCAATGAACTATAGGCCTATGAACAGGCAATCCTATGAATACTTCAAAGTATTTAGCAACAGTACTTTTGCTAAAGTTTTATACATCACATATTTATAAATGATTGTTCTGCTTCACCAATAGGGCTGAAGAAAATTCTAAGGCTAAAAGGGTCAGCTGAAAGGAAGTCCCTACTGAATGTTAACTGCCCCAGGGGGAGGAAGAGCCCTCCCACATGGTAAACAATACTAATACTTAAGTCAACCCAAATTGTAGACTCAACAAAATGAACAGGGGATGAAGGAAACAGTCATGGGAAGAAAATCTAGCTGTTTGAAACTAAAGACTACTGTTTTCCAAATTCATGTCTGGTAAGATCAAATGTAACCTGCTTTGTACTGTGTCTTAGGAGAACAGCGTTCTTACCTAACCTAGATAGTTCGTTTCCACTGTAATCACCCTGTAACCAGGCTGCTTTTCCTAATCTGAACTGCAAGTACAATTTATGTGACTCTTTAGAAAGCAGGAGTAACCATCTATGAAGTGATGGAAAGATACATGGCTGTGTATTACAAAAAATCTTACACATATCATCCTTATATGAAAACTTACCACCATCGTGCGGCCAATGATGGAATTCGCTCCCGAGAGTGAGATCAGAGAATCCTCAATGGATACATTGGCCACACCATCTGCACCCGCAGTCACATTGCCCAGGTCTCCAACGTGCCTAACAGTGAAAAGCCATCAAATGGATTAGAACTGGATTCTTCTGAACATCAAAGAGAGTGCATGAGCTCTAAAGAAAAATGTGAGTCAAACATGTCAGGGTAGACTCGGTATTATCAAACAAGACTACTTTTCCAGACCGACAAGTTTGAAAACACAAATTTAAAAACAAGCAGCTGGACACAGTTCCTCAATCAAGGCTTTCAGTCTACACAGTAACAGTCTGCGAAGCGTCATGGGATGGGGTGCACCACCGACTTCAGGGGTAAAGTATCCAAAGGTGAAGGCTCGGCTACTGAGTTATGCCTACTAGTTATTCGCACAGTTAAGAAAGATACCCGCTAGGCCTCTGTTATAAAAATTGATCCTTGTTCTTAAATTTAATACTTTCCTGAAAGGCTTTCAAAAAACTTCAAAATGGAAATGGGAGTCTCAACTAGTTTTCAGTACCAAAATTTTTACCTACAGAAGCTTATGTTTCACAATAACATATATTTTGCTAATGGTTGACAGTACTGTTTTTCACGACACTTCTTGTATTAGTTCCCTTTGGCACTTGTATTAGTTCTATATTCAAATAAATGCTACAAAACCAGTTGTTTTAAGTGTCCCCATTTGTCAACTCCTTAGCCCAGGGAAGAAGGAATTCCAGCACTTGGGAATGAGGGAGTTATGGGGGAGACAAAAACTCAAAAGCAGAGTTTGGCAGCCTGCTCAGTCATCTTGGTTTTTGCAAGCAGTGCACCACATGAACCCCACAAAGCCCTCCTCGTTAGCGCAATAGCTGAGCATCTTGTCGCTCAGTTATCTTGGTTTTTGCAAGCAGTGCACCACATGAACCCCACAAAGC